GCAATAATCATGACTCAAATGCCTTTGCTTTTGCTTCAATCTGTTGTCACTAAACCTTCTCTACAAATGTGTAGGGTAACATATTAAAAACAAATAAATAAAGACACTTTTTTAAAAATTAATTAGTATTAAAAAAATAAAAATTGATATTTATTTAATAAATTGTTTTCTTAAAATAATACATATGATATTAGTAATTAAATTAATGCCAATTTTTATTATTTTTAATATCAATTATAATATGAAATTTTTTTTATTAATTATGCTCTTAGCCCTTCAAATCCTTAAAGAAATTACTTTCCTCTCATCATTTTTTTTCTATTAAGATTTTAATTTTTGAAGTAACTCTTGATTATTGAGTTGCAAGTCTGAACATTTTCAACCCATTACAGAGGCAGCCAGACTTGACTTAGAGCTAGAGGCTCGGCCGAAAAAAAAGAAAAAAAAAGGACTTGACTAAGGGGCCTGGCCCAGGCCCACGTCGAGTTGTGATTAAAAATTCCTGAATGGTAACCTTTCATTGGGCGATTAGCATTATTCCCAACCGCCAATTAATTATAACACTGTACCCTGTGCGCTGGCATTTATTAACCAATATCAAGAAAGAAAAATGATAACAAGGGGGAATTTTCCTTTTCTTAACTAGATACATATTTTGAATCAATTAGTTCATGAATGTTTTATTTTTTTATTTTTTTTTTCTTTACTTTTTAAGATATTTACATATAAAGTAATAGTATAAGTTTTATTATTTTTATGCAATTATAATAGTGATTAACACCTTATAATGTCATATATTTAAATGATAATTTATTTTTATTTAATAAGTGATTAACTCTTGTATTGTAATTCTTGTAATTTTTACTGCTTTATTACCCTATAGATAGAGCTTGTTATTGTATAGGAAATGGATGGAAGAAAGAAGAAGAACAAAAACCTATTCATGGTTTCTTTGCCTTCCATGTCTTTCTATTTCACACTTCGAATTTTACTTAAAAAAAAAAAATAGAACATTATACAAATTAAGCGTATGATTAATGTATTTTTTTAGAATTATTTTATTTTATTTTTTTAATTGATCTACTTATCCAAATGAAAAAAAAAAAGAGAATGAAAAGATAAAATTTTCCATCCCTTTCCTTCCCTCTTTCTCCGATCCATTCCCTTCGATCTAA